ATTACGAATTAGCAAAAACTGTGGTCCGCCCTTGCTACAAGTTGGCGGTACTTCATTACCAAACTCTGGTCACTCACCTATCAAGTTTGACACATATAAAAAGAAGCCTAACCATACTATGAGAACATTTACACATTTGTCAAACGATAATGAGTTGAGAGATGCAGTTCTCCTAACTGATGAACAACAGGTTCAAGCTGTCATAAGATCCATTGCCTCAAAATTGGAACATATGAAAATCACCTTACCCATAATGAGGGCATCAGAAATTTAGAAGATGCCCATACGCCATTTGAACTGGAAGAAGATTGCCTTAATGCAAGTAAGGCAAATACTGATATGTATATGGCTGGTTCCAGTTCACATGGTGGGAGGGATTTAAACCGTAAATTCCAAGGTGGATCCCAAGAAAAAGCAATACTGATAAGGCTCAAGGGAAGAGAAAAAGTTTTTTAAACACGGAAAGGAAAGCATCCTGCCAGGAAGAGAAATATGGCAAAGGTGAAATGCTATAACTATGGTAACAAGGGACATTTTGCTCGCGATGTAGTGAGCCCAAGAAGGTAAATTACTTGCGCAAGTAAGTTATATAAAGGTTTCCAGTTCTGTTTTTCTAACTGAATGTCATCCTTTGTGGACTGTAGATATCAGCACAATAGACCACATAGCGAAAGACAGAGTCTTTCCTGGAATTTCGACGAATACCACGGGAAACAAAATGGATATATGTGGTAACAATTCAAAGTGGAAGTTAAAGGGATCGGCACATGCAAATTGATTCATGCGTGGATGTCGAATCCTATACCTACATGACTTTTATATGCACTCGATATTTGTCAAATTTGATTTCCGTTTAGAACTTATTAAACTTGGTTTTAATTTAAACTTTTCTAGTACTGGTGTCCATTTATTTTTGGACACACATACTAATTGAAGAACCTGTACTGTGCGGTTCCGGTTCCGGTTCCTTTTTTTGGGAACCTGTACTGTGCGGTTCCGGTTCCGGTTCCCCGGAAAAGTGTAGGGTACCCGGAACCGCTCACCCCTACTCCCAACAAACACTTGTGAAAAGCAACCCTTGTACAAAAATATTAAACGCAATACACAAACCTTAGAGCATCTCCAAATAACTCTTTATTATAAAGAGTATATTTATAAAAATAAGAGTTCAACAAACTCTTTATTTTTTAAATATAAATTAAAGAGTGAGTTTCACTCTTCGCATTCAAAGAGTTAAATTTCTCTCTCTATCCTAATTTTAATTAATAAATTATAAGTTTCTATGCATTCTATTTATTAATTTTTTCTTTTACTAAATCTTTTTCTTGAAAATAAAGAGCATCTTTATTAAATTTAAAGAGAGTTTATTAGATTTGAATAAAAATATTGTCTTTTATATTTAAAGATTAATAAAAATATTTTTTATTTGTATGAAATATATTCTTTAAAACAAAAAAAATCATTGGTGATATGCTCTGAAATTACATTTTTGACCCTCTATGACCTTTTGACCTGTGTTCGGAGGAGAAGGTTTGACCCATTACGTTGGCAGGAAGGCTCCTAAGACTGGAGTGCCAAGCGTGAAAGGACTTACGAGTTTTCAGCGTCGACATCAATCCCAAACTGGTTATTAATGTTTTTACAATATGTAATTTGTTAATTAAAATAATCACTGATTTGGCTTACTAAGCTTAAGCCAGTTTCTTACAATATGTAATTTGTTAATTAAAATAATCACTGATTTGGCTTACTAAGCTTAAGCCATTTTTAAGAAACTCAAGTATTTTATTAAGATTGGTCCTAAGAAAGGTAAGTACACAAAACGAAAACCTCCAAAATATGTTATTCTAATTAGGCCAGAAAAAAACTAATTCTAACAAATATTTGAAATGCACAACCTCAAAATTATACTTTTGTAAAAGAAATTTAAAAAAAAAAAAAAAAAAAAAGGCCATAAATAATGCTATGAGATAAGCGTAAGAATAAGCCAATTTCATTTCGAGTACTGCTATATGTACCCTAGTTATTTAATAAGTAAGCCTATCTTCATTTTAAGTGAGGGTAAAACTGTTTAAAAGTACAGTTATTTTATAAACTTCAGGAGCAATCACTTCCAGTAAACAATACAAGAAATTGTTGATTATCCTTTAAACAGCCAAAGATAAAAGAACATTAACTAAGGGACTGTCTGATAGTCAAGAAGGTTTGTTCCCTTCTTTGAGTTTCTGAGTTCAAACTTTGAGGCCATTTGCTATATTGGATAAGTACACCCATGATGAAGGGGCGTGAGAAGTGGAAACTGTCAAAGGCAGTTTCTCACGAACTGCTCCCATATAAAAAAAAAGTTTTTCCTTTTAGTAAGGTTACTCACCAATACGCAAAGAAAAAACACGCTCTCTCTCTCTCTAAAATTGAAAAGAAAATACTCTATGCAGTTTATTCTTCCAGGTTCAATTTTTGCTTCAGAGATAAGGAGAAGAGGTATTTATGCTGTGTAAATTTATTGTAGTTCGTTTATATGTAAAATGTGATTACAATGGGTGACTATGAACATGATCTTGGGATGAGATTAGAATATATGTTATTCTGTGTTATTTCCAACATTGGTATTAGAGCTTTTGGTTTATATTGTTTTAAAATTCGTACTGTTAAAGCATGTTGCTTGTTGAATAATACAGTTCTAAATTTTGAATTTTTGTGCATAAAAAGTTGTCTTTTTGGTTATAATAATTACACTATTAGATTCCTTATGAAATTATGAAGAAAATGGTTTTTGAATCATAAAAAATGGAGTTAAAATGACTTAGATATGCCCTTTTAAAATTTTGGGTTTCGTATGGGTTGTTTTCCGGGTCGGGTACCCAGTTGCAGACCCGGACAGAGGTTGAAGACGACAAGGATCTACATGTCGTTTTGATTCCAACATTACATATGATAAGTCGTTTTTTTAATTTTAATTCCTTTTAATAAAAAATCATGCAAATAGACATGGTTGGTGAGACTTGAACCCGAGTCTCCAAGGTTAAAGCCCAATTCCCTAACCAGTGGACTATTTTTGTTCTGTGTTAACTATATTGACAAACCCAATATATTCCTTTCCGGCCCAACCCACTAACCAAAATAAATATGGGTCAAGTTGACCCGTGGATCTGACACAGTACATCAAATGGGTTAGTCAAACCCGACCCATAAGGTCAAACAGGTCAACCAAACCCAGTCAACGTCTGACCCGTAAGACCAAATGGGTTAGTCAAACCTGGTCAACACCTGACCCATGAAGTCAAACTCGGGTCAAAATTGACCCGGTTAAATGTGAAACAAGTCTACTCGACCCAAATCCGTGTGAGGCGCATGGCAGGCATGTGGAATGCTCCTGTCGGTGCGTGAGGGTGTGTGGCTCCTTTGGGGGGCGTGTGGCTACTTCTGGGCGACGCGTGGAGGAGCGTGAAGTATTCTAAATTTTGTTTCTTTTGCTGTAAAGAATAAAATGCATACTTGGTATGTTGTTATGAGTCTAATTTTTGTTATTAAACCATAAACACGTATATATATTATTTATCAAATATAGTCAACCTTTATTTGATAAATAAAGAGTTTTTTTTTGTATTTGTTATAGAAAAATATTACGTTATAGACGTGCAATGGTTGCTAGAACACCCGCTCAAAAGGAAATGGTTATGAACATGATTAGAACTCTACAAACTCACAAATTGATATTAAGAGACACAGAGAATGAGTTGGTGCAACTCGTAAATCATTTCATTCATGTGAATGAAAAGATTCAGGAAATTGTCTGGATAGGGGGGTTAAAGGAAGATGAGTCGAAATACAAAGTCTCTAAGAGGAGACTCTTGGTTACCCTAATTTCGTTGGTCTCCTTGATATGGTTTGGAACAAGCTGAAAGTTCAAAACTTTAAAGATGACAATAAAAATTAATACGTTTAGTAACAAACTACATCAAGAAATACATAGATTGGGGTACCAAAAAGACAGTTGGTGCATCATAAGAGTCTCCACTGTAGGGACATTACAAGAAATTGGGAATTCCCTTGCCTAGGGTTAATACAAGTAGATAAAGACCTTAGATAAGGGTTATCAGATCCTTCCAGTTTTAGGAATGTGGCAATACACTTAATTTTTTTTTGGAAATGTTTGTTTTAATTTCATTACATGTTGAATTATATTTACATAATGGAATTAGTTTTATTATTTATTTATTTTGATTATTATTAAAATTTAAAATTTTTATATGAATTTAGTTGAATTACACTTATATAATGTGTCTAATATAATTTTTTGAATTGCAATAATTATCTATGATAATTGGAAATTGGAATTGGATGATGATTGTGACATGGTTAACTTTGATTCCAAATCTAATATAATATTATTGATATAAAATTAAAAATATATGTATGTTCTGAGCATTGATAACTTGCATTATCCAATGTGTAATTTTTTAGAAATGGCATCTGCATCTAAGAACATTGTCGCCGAACTTAATAAAGGCTAAAAATTTAACGGCGACAATTATGAGATATGGAGCATGAAAATCCATATGTTTTGAAAGAAAAAGAGGTTCTTGAAGCTCTTACTACAACCATGGAAGAGCCTGAAGAAGGAGTCACAGCTCAACATAGATAAGACGTGCAGCTTATGACATATGGAAGAAGAAGAATTCCACTGCTCGCATCACTTTGGAGTAGCATGGCAATGATCTCATGAAATAGTACCAGGATTACGAATTAGCAAAAGACATGTGGTCCGCCCTTGCTACAAAGTTTGGCGGTACGTCCCATTACCAAACTCTGGTCACTCACTATCAAGTTTGACACATATAAAAAGAAGCCTAAACATACTATGGATACATTTACGACATTGTCAACATGATAAATGAGTTGAGAGATGCAGGTCATGTCCTAACTGATGAACAACAGGTTCAAGCTGTCAAGATCATTGCCTCAAAATTGGGAACATATGAAAATACACCTTACCCATAATGAGGGATCAGAAATTTAGAAGATGCCATACGCCATTGGAACTGGAAGAAGATTGCCTTAATGCAAGTAAGGCAAATACTGATATGTATATGGTGGTTCCAGTTCACATGGTGGGAAGGGATTTAAACGTAAATCCAAGGTGGATCCCAAGAAAAAGCATACTGATAAGGCTCAAGAAGAGAAAAAGTTTTTTAAACACGGAAAAGGAAAGCATCCTGCGGAAGAGAAATATGGCAAAGGTGAAATGCTATAACTATGGTAACAAGGGACATTTTGCTCGCGATTGTAGTGGAGCCCAAGAAGGTAATTACTTGCGCAAGTAAGTTATATAAAGTTTCCAGTTCTGTTTTTCTAACTGAATGTATTCCTTTGTGGACTGTAGATTCAGCAGCAATAGACCACATAGCGAAAGACAGGATGCTTTCCTGGAATTCGACGAATACCACGGGAAACAAAATGGATATATGTAGGTAACAATTCAAGGAAGTTAAAGGGATCGGCACATGCAAATGATCATGCGTGGATGTCGAATCCTATACCTACATGACGTGTTATATGCACTCGATATTTGTCAAATTTGGTTTCCGTGTTAGAACTTATTAAACTTGGTTTTAATTTAAACTTTTCTAGTACTGGTGTCCATTTTTTGGACACAACATACTATAGTTGTGGTTATATTTCTGATGGTTTTATAGTACTGATGTTGCTTTAATTATAATAATGTTTGTTTTTCCTTATTACATCTCCAATAATGATGATGTGAATGTATGACATGCAAGGCTTGGCCATATTGGCCAAACGAATAATATACTAGCAAGAGAAGACTTGTTAGGATCCTAACAAAAGTAGATTGATTACTGTGAACATTGCCTAGCTGGAAAAAGGGCAAGAAAACCATTTGGAAAAGCGATAGCTGAAGTTCCATTGCGACTAATTCATTATGAACATATGTGGTCCAATGAATGTGAGGGCTAGACATGGGGTTGTTATTTCATCAACATTTATAGATGATTTCACTCAATATGGTTATGTTTATGATTTCTCAAAATCAGAAGCTTTAGAAATACTTTCAGAAGTTTAAAAACTTAGTTGAGAATCAATTAGATAAAAAGATAAAAGTTCTGCGAACCGATCGAGGGCGTGAATATTTTATTGATCAGTTCAGAAATTTTTGTGATGAAATGGGAATAGAACGTCAATTAACTATTCTAAGAACTCCGCAATAAAATGATGTTGCAGAAAGAAGAAACAGAACCTACTTAAGATGGGGAGGTATATGATGGCACAAGCAAACTTGCCCATCACCTTTTGGGGTGATGCCTTATTGACGCCACATATATCCTCATCGAGTACCATCAAATCTATTCTACTACACCATATAGTTATAGACAAATCAGAACCTGATTTGAGTCTCCTAAAACCATGGGGATGTCTGCCTAGTCTATGATCCCCCCATAATATGGAAAATTAAGTCCAAGGGGGAAGAAAATATTTTCAAAGATACTCAGAATATTCAAAGGGATACATCTTCATAGGAGAATAAGAAAGTGCTAGCATCACTGAGTTTGAATCACGAGTATCACATTCTTAGAAACCGATTTTCTAAGAAGGGCAAGAAGGTAAAGGCTGTTTCTTATGAAACACAAGACCAAGGTAATTCTGTTGCCGACACATCAGTTGGGTAATTACATCCCAGTGGGAGGATATGGGTGATGAACAGTTTCAGATCTCCATCATTCCCTATTGGCGATCCACTATGTAGTTGGTCCAAGTGGGATTAACACTATCAATCTCCAATAAGTCGATCAAACAGGAAACAAGTTCCACGGCGACGATTTGGAATGAGGGGGAATTTTTCGTTACTCCACAAGATGAAGAAGAGCAAGGAATGTAATAAGGCTCTCAATGCCTTCTAAGGAAAAATGGGAAGCCATGGAAGAAGAATGGCATCATGAAATCAAACCAAGTATGGAATTGGTTGATTTACCAAAAGGATGCAAAGCCATTGGGAACAAGTGGGTTCTCAAAATCAAGCGTAAAGTGATGGCAGTATTGAAAGTACAAAGCTCGCTTAGTCGCGAAAGGGTATACACAACAAGAAGGAATAGATTATGAAGAAACTTTTTTCCTATTGTGTGGTTTACCTCAATCCGACTTATTCTAGCTATAGTTGCTAGCAGGATCTTGAATTGCATCAAAGGATGTAAAGACATGCTTTTTCAATGGAGAATTACAAGAAGAAATCTATATGGACCAACAAATGGTTTTATTAGAAAAGGTCAAGAACACAAGTGTGTAGACTTTTAAGTCAATTATGGGCTCAAGCCGTCCTCAAGACAATGGTATATCGATTTCATAAGCGATAATGTCGTATGATTTCAAAATGATAGATGAAGATCACGTGATATACAAAGAGATCCAATAAAAATTTATTATATTCATTAATGTTGATGATATACTTATGCTAAATGATAAGGGATTTGTCAATGAAATCAAAGGATGGTTCTATCTCATTTTGAGATGAAGATATGGTGAAGCTGCATATATTCTTGGAGTCAAGATTTCAAGGATCGCTCAAGAAAATTAGTATCTCTCACAAGAACATACATTAAGAAAATTCTGAATAATTTCATATGCAAGATTGTAAACCCATAGACAACCCTATCGCGAAGGGACTTTGAGTCATAAAATGTGTCCAAAGACTCCAAAAGAAAAGGAACAAATGAAGAATGTTCCTTATACAAGTGCTGTTAGAAGTCCATGTACGCCATGATGTGCACTAGAGCCGACATCTGTTATGCCATGGGTTGTAAGTAGATACCAGTCCGACCCAGGACAAGGAAATTGGAAAGCAATGAAGAGAATCTTAAGATATCTAAAAGGGACAGCTGATTACTCATTATGTTATAAGTAAATGATTTACACTTGAAGGTTACACCGATGCTGATTGGGGAGGAGATTTAGATGAAAGGAAATCTGCTTCGAATATGTTTTCTTACTAAATGGGGCCCATATCTTCGAGCAGTAAGAAACAATCATGTATAGCCTTATCTAAATGGAGGCTGAGTTTGTAGCCTTTTCGCTATAGTGCAAGAAGCCGTTTGGTTGAGACAGTTCATGAATCATCCGGGAATAATTAATGTGCTATTGAACCAGTAAGAATAAACTGTGTAGTCAAGCAGCAATAGCATACACTAAGGATCCCAATATATGGTAAAACGAAACACATAGATATAAAATAATTTTGAGCGAGACTTGGTGGCATAAAGGAGGTGAACATGAATACAATCTACGCATGACATGGTTGCGGATCCATCACAAAGCCTATACCAAGAGATACTTTCAATAGACATGTTAGTCTCTAGGCTACGTAGGTGTTGAATGTACTCATACTTTGAGATTTTCCAAAATGTTCACGTGTTTTTTATCAATATTAAATAACAATATTGTCAATGCTCAATTTAGATTATTATGGCATACATGAAGAGACTTATATAATATGTAATAATATAGATCGTAATAGTATATTGTTATATGTGTTATTATTTTTGCAAATGAAGAGTGGACAGTTAATAAGATTGACTTTTTCCAACAGGATAAGCTCTATTACTTATAGGAATGAGATAAGACGTTTTAAGGTTATCTAGGTGATAATAGAGAGCCAAGCTTAAAATGTTAACGCTTAGAAAATAGAATTAAAATAATGTCATTATGAAATGTGACCATAAGTGATAAATGATATTTATCTACTAATTGCCAGATTAGAGTTCTGATGAATTAAAAGTATGTAAAGTGAACTCAAGTTAGATATTAGGTATGTCTGAACTAAAACTACAGCATTTACAAGAAAAGAGACATGCACCCCATGGGAAGGAGGAAATGCTATAGCCTGTGATTCATACCACATGTGCAAAACATTGACCAAAGGAGTAATGAAAGTCAAATCTCAACTTAACATTGTGTGAGACCTTGAGTTTTTTAAGAATAAAATCTCATAGAATACCCTTATTCTTATTCTGTTTCTTGAAAACCTCATTTAATGATTGCTACTTAGAGTGTTACCAAAGGATTAAGATAAATTCAATCAGCGAGACATTTCTAGAAAAGCAAGTTAAATGGAAGTTGTAAGAATCGAGAAAAAAGGAAGATTACCATTTTGAATTATCACTATAATCACGTGTATTCATTGGTCGACCAATTATGTTACTTTTATGTAGACAAAACATAATTATGAAACAACGGATATATTATAAATGAGATTATTAGAAAAATGTGAAAGTAATCTAGTACAATATAAAACTGAGTTCACAATTCAGAGAAGTTATATATTCATAACAGATATATGACTAACGTGCTCTCGAAGTATGCAGGTCACATGACATATTTACTAAAGTATGAACCTTAAAGAAGCACAGAGAGAGATAGTCCCATCAGGTGTGAGTGGGAGATATTGGATAGTACACCCATGATGAAGGGCGTGAGAAGTGGAAACTACCAAAGACATTCTCACGAACCGTCCCATATAAAAAGAAAGTTTTTCCTTTTAGAGGTTACTCACCCTACGCAAAGAAAAAACACGCTCTCTCTCTCTAAAATTGAAAAGAAAATATACGCAGTTTATTCTTTCGGGTTAATTTGCTTCAGAGATAGGAGAAGAGGTATTTATACTGTGTAAATTCATTGTAGTTCGTTATATGTTAAATGTGATTACAATGGGTGACTATGAACATAATCTTGGGATGAGATTAGAATATATGTTATTCTGTGTTATTTCCAACATCTACAATAATTTATGGCTCACCTAACTTTTGAGCTTGTAGGATATTCAATAGAACATAGGGATTAGTTGAGGTACGCGCAAACTGGCCGAACACTTCAGTTGCAAAAAATAAAAAATAAAAATAAATAAAGATAAAGAACATTTAAAAACTGAATAGTGCATAATTATTAATTTTCTTGTATCTTCTTGTCATGTTTAGTATTCTTTTAATGTCCCAAATATTAGTTGGGCACTCTAATTAAATTATCCGTCAAATTATCAAATTCAATAAATAAACTCAATAACAAAAAAAAATGAGACATTATATTTATATTTAAAATAGGCATATATACACAAATTCAACTAAACTTATTGCAATTATAAGAAGTATAAAGCCTATGATTTTTCCCGACCTTAACAAAGAGTAATGTTACTTGAACTCTATTAAATCACTCTCTAAACCCTTCTTAAATAAAAATTAACTTCTATATATTTCTTTCTCATTCCAAAATACCTTAACCGCCCTTTTCTATTCTTCTATGTTTTAAACTATATAATCTTAGAGTATCAGAAAATCTTTTATAGTAATTTTTTTTTTTTTTTACTATAAATGACTATCACCATAACTGATTTGATATTACTATTTGAATAATATGGGCGGATCTCAAAAACTTAGTGGGACATAATACAAATTACAAATTGTAAAA